TTTGCTAATAACTTATTTACATATTAACTCTATCTGTTTTCTAACCTTATATAATAAATTTATTGTATGTAATTATTGGTTTGTAAGCTTCTTTAAGCAAAGTTTTATTTTTTAATTTAATTAATTATCATGAGCAAATCATGGGTAATATAATGATTTACACCATACATATTGTTTATTTGTTTACATTTTTTGACCAATCAAATCGAATGTCTGCCATGCTTCAGCAAAATATATTACCATAAACTTGCGTAAGTTATTACGCTCCAAAATATTGCGCAATAATTACAGTCTGGGCATAATATTGCGAAATAAATTGCAAAATATTGTGCAATATATAACGTAATATTACGAAATATATTATGCAATATTACGCAATTTATTACGGAATATTATGCAATTTATTTCAAAGAGTTTTAAAATTTGGCATGGTATACCTCTAATTACATAATCAATCTACGTGATTTGAATTTGGGTCTGCGGTGCACACTAATCACATAATTGCATAATTCAGTATTTTAACCAAAATTAATTTATTTGAATATTAATTATATCACTACGTTACATGAAAATTTTTATTACAAATTATTGCCTTATTATTAAACAATCATTATTATAAAATACTTTCATAACATTTATTACAGCCTTTAACAATTATACTGGCTACGCATAACAATGCATATCTATACACCACTTTATTATTATACTAAATACAGCTTTTGTTGCTTCGTTAACACTTAGCAATACCCATAATATAAGGCTTGGTTTACTCACCCTTTGCTACGGCTGTCACCTCGGCTTTGTTCCTTTTTCTAATTGTTCAATAAACCCAATTTTCATTAATTCTAATTATAACGTTGTGAATACTGAAAGCCCAGGATGAAAAAACTCAACAATGAACACACCAAAATCCACTACCAACAGGCAAATTACTGAATCATGACAACAGAGCTATAAATATAACAAATTTACCACTGAAAATGAAGACCGAATCATGATGAAGCCGCAAATCGATAAAAGCTAAAAAGAAAAAAAATAATAGTTGGGGAGAAAAGAACGTTAGCTAAATGCAAACCTAAACAAGAAGCAAATAGAGCTATACTTTCCGGAAAAGGCCCAGAGACGCCACTCATAACACTAGAAAAAAAAGAAAAAATGTATTGATAATGTGTTTGAAAACTAGAACAACCCATTTAGAAAATGAAATCTACGTGTTCACAGAGTGAACTACTGAATCATGACAACAAAGCCATGAAGCTACCACTGAAAACGAAGACCAAATCGTGATGAAGCTGCAAAACCAAACTCTCACAGTGCTTCAAACGGCGAATCGATAAAAGCTAAAAAGAAGAAAAATGATAGTTGGAGAGAAAAAAATATTAGTTAAATGCAAACCAAAACAAGAAGCAAATAAACCTATACTTTCAGGAAAAGGCCAAGAGACACCACTCATAACACTAGAATGCATTGGTAAAGCGGTTGAAAACTAGAGCAAAATGTTTGGCAAATGAAATATATGCGCTTACAAGCCAGAAAACAAGAACAAATAAGTGAAAAATCATACCCCAGGATTCCCAACAAGAATAAATAGGCTGGAAAAGCCTACCTCAACAATATCGCAAAGGACAAAGATGAGACTTGATACAGCACACTGGTACTAAATTATACAGCAGTGGCAACACGGCACTAAATGTAATGAAAATCCATCAACAACGGCATGAAATGGCACAAAGGCAACGATCACGTCTACGAAATCCACACCAATGATGTCTCCAAGCTACAATGACACTAACGACATCTCCAAGCTACGACAACACCAACGACATCTCCAAGCTACAACGACACCAACAACGTCTCCAAGCTATGACGACACCAACGACGTCTCCAAGCTATGATGAAACTAACAATGTCTCTAAACAATAGCGACCCACAATAACTAAAAGCTAAAATAAAAAAAAAAAGTGTATTAAAATAAAAAAAATAGTATTAATAAAAAAAAAAAATAGTATTATTAAAAAAAAAAAACTGATAATCACAGATCATTAGTTATATATAAAATTTATACGTAACATGTACGTATGTCAATTAAACTCAAGTTTAATATCAGATATAAGAGTTTAATAAATTAAATTGATTATAAAAAAAAAACTGATTTTATCTTCCATAATATGGCTTCATTCTTTCGTTTCAAAGCTTTCAAAAAACCGTTAATGATTACATGAACAATAGAAAAACGAAAGACATATAATTAATCGTTCAAAGTATAATAGTTGCCTGGCTATTTTACGAAACCCGTCAAGTAAACATGAAAATTGAAACTTTAGATATTGGGTTCTTAATACCTTTAGATTAATTAAAGTTAGAATTATCGATGAACTAAATATTAAATCTGATAAACATAATCATGGTAGCAAATCAACATGTTTCTTAGAACCATCAAATTATTTATAATCTTAATGAGAAAATGATATAAAAACCTGGTAATCTCATAAAGATGATATTGATAGGCTAAAAATGGATAGACGAGCATTGCGACTCATGTCAAGTTAAAGTTTGGAATTTTAGATACATGGTTTTCAGCAAACGAATTAGAACCCTTAGATGCTAATGAATTTCGCGAACTTGATATAATTTCAATGGGCAAATTTGTTTCTTTACGAATGTTGGTGTTCAACAAAACTTAACCCGACTACTAAATATTACAAATGAAACATCCAACCAAGAAATTGAACAAGGTTTAAAGAAAAATGATGGCTGTCATTGTAATAAACCAATTTGTGAAAGTAGAAGTTGTCTTGTCATAAGAACAAATCTTTTTGTACTTTTCGTTGTATTGTATTCGCCGAGGTATATGCAAAAATCATATAGTGCTTTAACAGTTGTTTAATTTTAATAATCGTAATGGAAGTTAAATACAATAATTAATAATAAAAATAATTTGATTTGCATCGAGAATTTTTTTTGTTAATCAATAAAATCATACCAATACTGATTAAAATATGAAGTACTTTAATTTACAATTTTGAAGCTATGTACGTACGTATAGCAATTTTTAATTTGACAGAAATTTGAAAGTGACGTCTAACAGCGATGCTAGGTAGTTTACATGATTTTGGTGGTGTGTTCGAGTCATGGGAGGTCAGTTGGTGATACAAAGACCATGTATGTGAATTATTTCGAAATTTTTTGCTTAATGTAAAAAAGCCGTAATATTACGTAAGATATTTCGAAATATTTTGAAAATATCTTACGTAATATTTCGTAATTTGATATTTTGCAATATTTCGAAATTTCTTACGTAATATTACGGCTATTTTACGTTTTATAAATTATTACGAAATATTACGGTCTTATAAATTTGCTGATGTAAAGAAGGAGGAATATGGAAAATTTCTAAACTACATGGTGCTTATGATCCTTTACAATATCCTTTATTATTTCCTTATAGTGAATATAGATAGCATAATAAAATTCCAAGAAAAGATATAAATAAATTACCTGATACCGATTCTGAAGATTCTGAAAATGATAATGATAATAACAATAATATTGATAAAATGCCTAGTATAGAACCTTCATTAGAAAGGCAAGAAAGTATTGCTTCAAGTACTGGAGGTGCAAGTACAATTTTTAAAAAATTA